CGGTAAGATTTTCATGTAGAAATTAGTTGAGCATTATTGCGGAATTAAGGGATTTATTGTTACTACGGTAACAGTAGTATTCGATTATGATTTTTCTTGTTAGATTAATTTATTAGGATTGTGATTCTTTAATTTTTTTTGCATTTATTTTTAACTATCTACTACGCTAAATAAAAAAATAATATTTAATGTAACACCACGCAGATTCATATATTTGTGTGATATATGACGCAGCAGTCAAAACAGTTTGGATCTAAATACACGTATTTTTTAACACTATTAAATATAAAAAAATTGTTACAGTCCGTGCCATACCCTGATGACTTTCCAAAAATCATGTGTAATATTCTGAAAGTTTCTGAGCACAAAGAACATACCTTTTAAGCTTCTATATCGATATCGGGTATTGTATGTTCATAATCTTTCATACTCCAAATACAATAAATCGGTCACTTTTCGAGCAAAAATGAATCTGCTACTTTAGGACGCAATATTTCGATTCGATTTGAACAAATATACTACCGTTCGATTCATCTCTACTAGTATTATGTTTATGAATATATACAATACCCGCTATAGCTCTACCAATCTATTCAATGTGCTCGGAAAATTCCAGAACATTACACATGTTCTTCGGATCAGTTACTTGTGCGCGGACTGTACAAACAAAATTGAACGGATCACATACAACACAAAGAAATATTTCAGAGAAATGTACAATGTTGCACAGTTGTCAATTAAAGATATCGATATGTACATGTACATGAAGTAACGATAACGATAAGGTTTTTACTTTATTTTCGCTAATATACGCACATTCGTGTACAGAATATCTGTATGCGTACATGTACATGTATTTTTGAGTGTATTATACTCCGCGAAAATACCTTTTTTATTCTATTAATTTCGTGATTGGTTAATTTCTTCAATTTGCTACACAACATCGTCTTCGCTTATTACAAGTATATGTATTTTGATTATGTAACAAAAACCAACAAAGACATGTATAGGAAAAATGCCATATCTTTTTTTAGAAGATTCATTATTTTTGCGACACTAAACAATGAATATGATACATGTAGTAGAGCAATGGAGGGAGTGTTTGAAGGGTGAATTCTGTATATTTATTCTATACTGTATCTCTAAATTTTTTTGCATTACATATTGTGTATATTGTATTCATAGAACTAAACAATTGTATTTGCATTATGTGTGTACATGTATATAAAAACGAATAAAATAATTTTTTCATCTTCATTTCCTTCTTTGTTATTTTTCCTTTCCTTTCATTTTTTTACAGTGTTTTTTGTTGTCTGTCTCTGCTGGCAAGAGTTTGACATATCATTCGTTGCAAATTCTTGCGACTGTTTATCCTCAAAGTGTTATTTGTTTTCATCGCCGTTAAAAAGATCATTTTTTCTTCCTTTCTCTCTCCTCTTTCCCTATTGCCAATTGTTCTTGATCCACCTTTAAAATTCCTCACCAAAAATCCAAGAACTTTTTTTTACAAATAAAAGAACCATGAAAGAACCGAATCGACAACACTGGAAAAATGTCTTCCGCACAAAATCAAAATCTCTCACATCATCATCAATACTACTGACATTACTAATACTATTGCTATCACCATCAGCACATATATACATACACGCATCTCCAATGGTTGCTCCACCACATAGGGTAACATCAAGTAATGGAGAAACTAGTAGTATTAGTAGCCAGAAACAAGCAGCGACGACGCTTATTTATGGTGATGGTCCTATTAAGGTTACAGCTGTTTCAGATAATCCATCACAGCAAGGTAAATTAAGTTAATATTGAATTTGCAATATTTTTTGAGATATTAATTCATTAATTTTAACCTACTTTATTACAATGGAAAAATAATCTAGGATCGGTAAGTTATTTTACATATCATTTTCCGCTAATTATAATAAATGCTAATTTCTTAATAATTTAATTAAAAATAAATAGCCAACTTCTTCACAAAATAATCGAGATACAAATGTTCAACAAAGTCCAGTTCAAACATCAGCTGCAGTAGGTGCCCCAACAAGTCAAAATCAAGAACAAACTCCAATAGAAACACCAGCTCAAACATTAGACGCAGCAGGTGCTCCAATAAAGCAAACTCCGGAACAGACTCCAATAGAAACACAAATCAATCGAGATACAAATGTTCAACAAAGTCCAGTTCAAACTTCAGAAAAGACACTAGTAGAAAGCTCATCACAAACAATAGATACGCCTATTGAAAGACTACCAATAGACACTCCAAATGCAACTCCTCCTCCACAAACATATCCACAACGAGAGTCTTCACCAACCCAGCAAGAATCTCGACTACCCACACGAAATCCCGAAACTTCTCAATCTGCATCTGTATCCGAATCATCACCACAATCACCACCTACTCGAACATCACCTCCTTCTAGATATACAGATACACCACAATCTGAATCATCCTCACAATCATCCCAACCACCAATTACTCGAACGTTACCTCCTCCTAGATATACAGATACACCACAATCTGAACCATCTTCACAATCATCCCAACCACCACCTACTCGATCATTACCTCCTCCTAGATATACAGATCAACCACAATCCGAATCATCCTCCCAACCACCACCTACTCGAACATCACCTCCTCTTAGGTATACAGATCCACCACAATCTGAACCATCCTTACAATCATCCCAACCACCATCTACTCGATCATTACCACCCCCTAGATATACGGATCCACCACAATCTGAACCATCCTTACAATCATCCCAACCACCATCTACTCGATCATTACCTCCTCCTAGATATACGGATCCACCACAATCTGAATCATCCTTACAATCATCACCACCACCACCTACTCGATTATTACCTCCTCCTAGATATACGCCACAATCATCACAACCACCACTTACTCGACCATTACCTCCTCTTACAGATACGTCACAACCTGAATCATCTTCAAAATCATCACAGCCACCATTACTTCCTCCTACAGATACGCCACAACCCGAATCATCTCAACCACCACTTACTCGACCTTTTCAACAACCTACAAATAATCCGGAATCTCCACCAACTCGACAACAACCATCAATATCCCTGACAACGCCACAAACTACGCCGTCACAAACCCTAATCCAACCAACACCATCTTCTTCGAATTCACAAATTTCTACAAATAATCCTCCATTCACTGCAGCAAAACCTATTTCAGATAATCAATCAATTACTCAATTAACTGAAACTTTGGAGACAATATCAAAATTTGCGACTTCTCTTATTCCAATAAAAGCACCAACAACAGTATTAACTTCTGTAATTGCAACGTCAATCCCAACACTATTAACTTCTCTAACAACAAATTCAAAAGGAGAAGTATCGACTATTTCATCGACAAGTAAGTTACTACGTAATTTCAATCCACTTGCTTGCTATTACCAAAAAAAATTAAAATGAATTTTTTTATTCTAGGTTTCATTCCAACTTTAACAACGGTCGAATTATCCTTGACGCTATCACCACCAGAAGTAGAAGAACCAACAACAATACCAGTTCCTGACAAACCACCCTCCGCTCTTTACAGTACTGAATCAGGATTCAAACAGATTGTCACATCGGGCTACGGAAATTGTGGACAAGTACAATTTAATGATTTCCGAGTCTGGTATTCTAAAGATCAGAATCGTATTGCATTTAACGCGACTGGTAAAAGTTTATTGAGTTTGCAGCAAGGACAAGGTTTGTAGTTATTTTTGCTATTTCTATTGTAAGAATTAAATACTAATTAATGAAAATAATTTCTAGTACGATTGTTTGTGTATTTTGATCCATCACATAAAATTTTTACTGCGCTTCCTGCATGTAAGTTCGCTCCTGGAAATGACGATTCTTGTCAGATTGGTGGAATCGAGTCACCAGAATTTTTATTGAATGGTACTATCCCGACTGGCTTCGACGATGCATTACCAGGTATTATTACATACACGTGTCTAAAAAAAATGGAAACTATGCTAACTAATAATTTTTTTCCTGAATGACATTAGAAATATTATTTAATGTACCCGGTACCGGGTCATACGCGATGTTAACAATCGCACCAAATACAGACCAAAACGACAACATAGATACTTCGGATCCTACGACATATCTTGGATGTGTCTCTGCACCTGTCGGAAACCCGAAAACGTATTCATCTGATGCTGTTGCGGGTCTAACTATTGGCACAGGAATCGCTAGTATTTTGTTGGGCGCTCTTTTGATTATGAAAACGACTCATGCGCTCGGATTTATCGGAGAGAAAGATGATCAGTATGCGAGGAAATGGCGAAAGAGCCATCACTGGAATACACCACAACAGCCAATGGGGAATGGCGGCGGTGGTAGTAGTGGCGGAGGAGCTGGAAATGGATCTGGAGGTGGCGGTGGTGCAGGATGCGGAAGTAATGACTCTGAATTATATCGTGCATATTCAGGACCACAATACGCCATAGAAGCAAGTTTTCTTGCTAAACCAGGACAACAAAGTAGCCAATCCAGTACTCATAGTGGAAACAATAATGATAATGAGAGTCAAATTAGCAGCTATCATGATGGTGGTAATCACAATTATCATACTGGAAAGGGACATTACAATTCGGGAAACAATTCTCATTCCGGATCTAATATAAACGGTCAAAATGATGAAAATGTAGGAAATGCAGAGTACCATAACGATAATAGCAACAATAATTATAATCATCCAGGAAATCAAGATCCTTTCGCAGATTCGCATTCAATTTATAATTCATCATCGGGAGGAAATTACGACACATCTGGAACCAATAATTCTTTTAATATGCATAATGATAACAATTACAATCAACAAAGACCTATGATTTGCAGTCAAGGTCAATCAATGTCGAATCCTTTTGCTGATCCGACCAGTACAACTGATAGTTCGTTAAGAGTTGCTCTTAGTAATGACCCAACTTCGGTTAGCAATGGAAGTGGTGTATCATCTGCAAATAATCCGACAGGATCTCAATTCGGACATCTTAGTCAACTTGATGGACAAAGTGGTACTGATAGTGTTGAAGGTGGTAGCGCAACCTCTGCAAATAATACAGTAAGACCTAATCTCGGTCAACTTGATGGAAATACCAATACTGCAATTAATGTAAATAGTAATGGGCCAGGTGGGGTTGGTGGACCAAATGAAAGTGTTAATACTGCATCGATGAAACCACATCCATCGCAAGCAACACCAACACAAACTCCATCAATCTACGATTTCATAAACTGTGCACAATTTATTGTCACCACCGGACTACTTGCACTCCCAAATCTCCCAATCGGGTACCGTCAATTCGCCTCAAATTTCGGATGGTCAAGTGGTGCCGGCACCGGTATAAACATCCAAGTATTCTCCAATGCCGCAAACAAAATTCGAAGCGAAATTTGTTCATTTGCCAGTAACTGCAGTTCATCACTTTTCGATTTCAATGACAATGGCACGTGTGGCGTCGAACAAGCGTGGGCCCTCAATTCCGAGTTATCCCCACCAGAAAATTTATTCGCCGCTAAACTCACCGATGGAAATATCACCACTTTTACTAATCCCGCTGGAATTTCGTCGTATGCGAACACGTTGCATGTGCCCGCGTCTAATTTGTTTTTTATTGTTATGATTACGTTCTTGATTGCTGTGGGAGTCGCGATTGTGTTATCTATTTTGGCAGGTGTTGTTGCGAGATGTCTTAAAAAATATTGGAAAAAATATTTGCTTTTAAAGAAGGCTGGGGAGAATTACCATTTGTTGGCTTTTGGTATGTTTTAGTATTTTTATGTGCAATTTAAATCTGAATCATGCTAACTATCTTTTTATTTTGTAAAATAAAATCATTATAGGCGGAGTTTTACGTGTGGTAAGTTCACATCTTTGCCATTCTTTACCAATTATTGAAATATAAATTAATTAACTTTTATATTTTTTATATAGCTTATTGCGATGTATTATCCGCTTACATTGTTTTGCATCTACGAATTATCAATACATAACGATTGCTGGCTTCTACTACTCCTAGCAGCACTCATCCTCATCATATTTTCCCTCGTGGTAATAATCTACTGCGGCTACAAAATATTTGTCACAATGGACAAAGACCCGGACGCACTTTGGGAAAACACTACCTACCAAATAGTCTACGGTGCACTATACACGCAATATCTGGATGACAGAGTCTGGTTCTTCGTGCCCACAATGGTCTACAACTTTTTTCGCGCAGTGATAGTAGGTGGCGGGCAAAACAGCGGCGTAGGACAATTGACAGGTCTATCGTTACTCGAATTCGCATACATGTTCGGCATCTATTCGTATAAACCGTTTGAACGGCCAATGGCAAATCGACTGACTATCGGATTAGGGACTGTAAGAATTATTGTGTTGGCGTTATTGATTCCGTTTGTTGGCGGCCATGTGGTTATTAGTCCATCTACGCGTATTTATTTGGCAATCGTGTTGATTGTGTTGCAGTCGCTGACGATTATTTTTACAGCTGGGTTGATATTGGTGAATGTTGGTGGTGCTGTGTGGAAATTGGTTTCTAATAAATTTTTCAAGAAAGAAGATGGCGATAATGGTGAAAAACTAAATGGTATTAGAAACGAGTATCGAAATGACACGGTTGATATGGAGAAAGCAACGAGTAGTATGTCGGGCAATAATAGTAGCAATATAAGAGCACGAAGACCAACAACGGAACGGTACCGGACGAGTATATGATTTAACTTGGACTCGGCGAAAACGGACAAAGAACTGATCTGCTGAAACGTGCCAGTGGCGAGTCCTAATTTTTCAGAGAAGTTGTTTAATTCTTAGGTTTTGTAAAGTGGGATGAAAAATGCGGTTTTTTTTCTTATTTAATATTAATAAGGGTCGATAGGTTTTATTTTTGGTTTTGATAGCTATTCTTAATTCCTTCGCTTTTATTATTTTATATTTTGCTTGTATGTATTTTTGTATTATATCTATTTTTGTATTTATATTATATTTATTTTTGTATTTATATTTATATTTATTTTTATTTTTGTATTTATATTTATTTTGTAATTATTTATATTTCCAATTTGTGAATATATTCTATCAATAGAGTTAGACTATACATGTACCTAAAATTCAAACCAAAACACATGACTAAGAAACTAAATCAATTAAATACATGTAACGTGAATTATATATGGTGCTGCGCACTATAATCTCGAGCATTCAGAATTTTAAAAGAATTTTATTTGATTAGCCGAAAGTCTATCAGTCTTAAATTACATAACGATAACGATTAACAAATCACATGTACATGTACGTACCAAATCATTGTAGCCATGTGATTTTATACATGTACATGCACGTTAATCTTCAATACCAATTGCTGCTAAAATGGGATTTATTGTTGACAAAAAGTGCTCACGTAACAATTGCGGTCAAAACTTGTTATTGTTATACGTAGTGAGGCATTCGTGTTATTAGTAAAAAATTTTAAGAATTCACTTTACCGAGAGTTTATTAATAAATTCACTATATCAAGAGTATTTCTTATAGAAATTTTTGAGCTCAACTTTACTATATTGAGAGTTTAATTACTCTTCACTATAACGAGAGTGACTTGTATTTATCGTTATAACGATACGTTTAGTACTGGTACTTTGTAAACATGTCCGAAATTAACAAAAATTTGTTAATCAAAGAACTTAAAAAAATAGATGTGCTTTCAACATCTATTCTATCTATTCCATCAACAAATAATTTTTCAGATTCGACAAAACCAAACAAGAAAGAAGTTGAGCTTTTCGGGAGTAATAGTTTGGCAAACAATAAAAGGCAACCAACTGAATACGAAGAGAATCCACAACAACTATCGACGACCGAAGATAATGTAAAGAAAGAAGATAGGTTGAAAAAACGATCCAGAACAAATGTCGATGATGCTATCAATGATCAAATGGGTTGGAATTTAATATTATTATCATCATCCATTCCAGCAACAGATTTAAATGTAGACAAAAACAACCATAATTTATCTGTGGCAAGCTCTTTGGATAAAGTAGAAAGTAATTTAGCACCATCATTTCCATTCACTATAGCAAAAAGCACATCTGAAAATCAAATAATGGATCGGCAACAAAGTGATATCGATATAGAAAAAACAATAGATTATTTATTGATTCTCTTTGAGAATATTTTCAAATGTAATGAAAACTATGAAGCAAATTTAGGAAAACTTTTTGCAATTATTCTAGAAAAAACACATATACACTTTGATAAAATAATTTTTTTGCAAAGTTTACAAACTAATATACAATATAAAAAAATTCTAGGCTTTATTTATCATAAAGGTTTGAATATTGAAAAAGATTATGATCAAGCTTTACGATATTATCAACAATCAGCATTTCAAGGAGATTTTGTAGCTCAATATTTAATTGGAGATTTATACAATGACGAGGATTGGATAAAAAAAGATAAACAAAAAGCATTTGAGTGTTATTTGAAAGCAGCAGAGTTTGGAATTCCTCAAGCGCAATATAATCTTGCTGTCTGTTACGAAAACGGAGAAGGGATAATCAAAAATGAACAAAAAGCATTTGAGTGGTATTTGAAAGCAGCAGAGTCTGGATTTCTTAAAGCACAATATAGTCTTGCCATTTGTTACGAAAACGGAGAAGGGACGATCAAAGATGAACAAAAAGCCTTTGAGTGGTATTTGAAATCGGCAGAGTCTGGAATTCCTGACGCACAATATGATCTTGGTATCTGTTACGAGAATGGAGAAGGGACAATCAAAAATAAACAAAAAGCATTTGAGTGGTGTTTGAAAGCTGCAGAGTCTGGAATTCCTGAAGCGCAACATAATCTTGCTGTCTGTTACGAAAATGGAGACGGGACGATCAAAAATGAACAAAAAGCATTTGAGTGGTATTTTAAAGCAGCGGAATTTGGAATTCCTGAAGCACGATATAATCTTGCTGTCTGTTACGAAAATGGAGAAGGAACAATCAAAAATGAACAAAAAGCATTTGAGTGGTATTTGAAAGCAGCAGAGTCTGGATTTCCTCGAGCAAAATTTAATCTTGCACTTTGTTACAAAAATGGACAAGGAACAATCAAAGATGAACAAAAAGCATTTGAGTGGTATTTGAAAGCAGCAGAGTCTGGATTTCGTAAAGCACAATATAATCTTGCCATCTGTTATGAAAATGGAGAAGGGACGATCAAAAATGAACAAAAAGCATTTGAGTGGTATATTAAAGCAGCAGAGTCTGGAATTCCTGAAGCACAATATAATCTTGCTGTCTGTTACGAAAATGGAGACGGGACGATCAAAAATGAACAAAAAGCATTTGAGTGGTATTTAAAAGCAGCGGAATTTGGAATGCCTGAAGCACAATATAATCTTGCTGTCTGTTACGAAAATGGAGAAGGGACAATCAAAGATGAACAAAAAGCATTTGAGTGGTATTTGAAGTCAGCGGAGTTTGGAATTCCTGAAGCGCAATTTAAACTTGCACTTTGTTACAAAAATGGACAAGGGACAATCAAAGATAAACAAAAAGCATTTGAGTGGTATTTGAAAGCAGTAGAGTCTGAAATTCCTGAAGCACAATATAACCTTGCTGTCTGTTACGAAAATGGAGAAGGGACAATCAAAGATGAACAAAAAGCATTTGAGTGGTATTTGAAAGCAGCAGAGTCTGGATTTCTTAAAGCACAATATAGTCTTGCCATTTATTACGAAAATGGAGAAGGGACGATCAAAGATGAACAAAAAGCCTTTGAGTGGTATTTGAAATCGGCAGAGTCTGGAATTCCTGAAGCACAATATAGCCTTGGAAAATTCTATCAGTATGGAATAGGTGTTTCAAAAAATCTCGACTTGGCGTTAAAATGGTATCAAAAGGCGGTAGAAAACGGACACGATCGAACTCTTGAAATGGTCGAGTCTTTCAATTTGGAAGAATTCTAAATATTTTACTACTTGTTTAATTTTGAAATAACAAAATCAGTTTAGCTTAGAGAATACATAATAACGTTAAGCCAGGTTTGTCTTATTGTGAAGGAATTATTTCTTTTTTGCCTTTAGTTTAACGAGAGTTACTTATATAATTCATTTATCCATGCCTGGTTTAAGATTATTAAGTTCTATAGAAATAAATCATATTCTGATTTCGTATTTGTTTTGAAAGCACATATATCATTAACAGAAAATTTGATGTTAGCATACCTTCTTACCTTTCAGTATCTTACTATTATTTCTGATATATTGTATTTTTTATTTTCAGCAAATCACTTAGAGTTCAACACAAATTTTTTAGTTACATATTCATTGTTATTTTTTATCGTTATCGTATGAATATAGAAATTATGAATGTAATTTTTCAAAGAAAATCTATAATGGTAGAATTGGTAGTGCGGTTTGTATTAAAGCTTTTGACATTAAACTCTTTATTTTAAACATAAAAAGCATGCAAATTTTGCATTTATTATTATGTTAAACCTTGTTAATTTTATTAATATTGACGTTGATTTCAAAACCGTCGCAATCTGGTGTGATATGCGAATTTTACTATAATACATATACAGTCGCCACAGAAAGTAACGCCCGATTTGGATGTGCAACATCAACATAAATTTAAATGTGGCGGTTTTCCCCCT